AGGTTAACAATCATAATGTAAATATCTGATATGCAACCCTTGTGAAAAGCTCATTTAACCCCCAAAAGAGTTGGAACCCTCAGGTTGGGAACTCCTGGTTTGAAGAGAGTATTCACTGTTTTCTTATATAATAACCTGTATTACTTTCAGGTTTGTTCTTTCCAGTCCCTCTCTTCCAGAATTTTTATCATAAAAGCATTTTGGATTTTGTCAAAGACTTCATGTGTCTACTAAGAAGATCTTATGTGTGTGGTTTTTTTGTTTTTTGTTTTTACTTTAAGTCCATTTATATTATTTGTTTACTCACATATACTGAATCATCCCTGCATCTCTGGGATGAAAACCAACTTGATCGTGGTGGGTTATCTTCTTGAAATGTCTGTATTCAGTTTGCAACTATTTTATTGATAGTTTTTGTATCTGTGTTTCAGGAATACTGGCCTGTAGTTTCATTGTGTGTGTGAGTCTCTGCCTAGCTTGGGTATTAGGGTAATACTGGCTTCTAGAATCATATTTTTTAAGCTGATTTTTATTCTACTGAATATATGGATGAAAAATAAAATCAAAACAATATTTTTTGTTGTTTGACTTATCTTGCTCAAAATATTTGATCTTTTGCAAAGGGTGTTATGTGCTGGAAACTAACGGCCAGAAGACTTGCTTGCCTGCAAACTGCAGAAAATACTTAGCAGGTGTCTTAATGGAACATTAACCGCATTATTTTTCTCCTTAGATCAGAGGGATTATATCTGTGAATATTGTGCTCGGGCCTTCAAGAGTTCCCACAATCTGGCAGTACACAGGATGATTCACACGGGCGAGAAACCATTACAGTGAGTATTTACTTGCTGGTAAACATCTGGGTAGGAGTGCATTTACCTCACTTGGAGGCTTGTCTTCCCTTATAAACATTTCCGTTCTCACTGCTTTCTTTACTTTTACTAAATTAAAGAAATATTCATTGAGAATTTTTTCTTTTCTTTTGCTGTTCTTTATAAATATATTTTAATTAGTTTGAGAATTTATTCTGCCTTAACCACTTCCCATTCCACCCATGGAACCCAGTTTGTGCTACCTATGTATTTGTATTTGTGTATATGTAAGTTTTCAGTTCTTACGTAGCCCTTGATTTAAGAATTCTTTGCTTGATCAAGTTCATTTCCTTTGGGTTTCCTTTAGATGTGAGATCTGCGGATTTACCTGTCGACAAAAGGCATCCCTTAATTGGCACATGAAGAAACATGATGCAGACTCCTTCTACCAATTTTCTTGCAATATCTGTGGCAAAAAATTTGAGAAGAAGGACAGCGTAGTAGCACACAAAGCGAAGAGCCACCCTGAGGTGCTGATTGCAGAAGCTCTGGCAGCCAATGCAGGCGCCCTCATCACCAGCACAGATATCTTGGGCACTAACCCAGAGCCCCTGACACAACCTGCAGATGCTCAGGGGCTTCCTCTTCTTCCTGAGCCCTTGGGAAACTCAACATCTGGAGAGTGTCTACTGCTAGAAGCTGAAGGGATGTCGAAGTCATACTGCAGTGGGACAGAACGGGTGAGCCTTATGGCTGACGGGAAGATCTTTGTGGGAAGCGGCAGCAGTGGGGGCACTGAAGGGCTGGTCATGAACTCGGATATACTCGGTGCTACCACAGAGGTTCTGATTGAAGATTCAGACTCTACTGGACCTTAGTGCAAAGGAAGACTCTGGTCACTGGGACAGTGCAGACTTTGTATTTAAAGGATAAAAAGGACAAAAAAAAAATTCAAAAGCATTTAAAATCTAGTAAAATTACTGAAGGGCCTGCTCTTTGCATTGTGGATCACAGCACACACACACACTGTCTCTATCTCTGTCTCTCTCTCTATCCCCTTCCCCTGAAGTTTCCTCCCTCATCCTGAAAACATTGATGTTGCCTTTACCATAAAGGTCATTAAAAAAGCAGCAGCGTACTTGGTTCCAGCCATCAGCAGCAGACTTCCTGCTCATCGGCAGATCTCCTTTTCCCAACCTGTATCTCTGATGTGCTCTGGATCAGCTTTTAATTCATAATAGTATATTACTATAATCTAATCTTTTCTCCTCTACTGCTGCCCTATGGCTCTGGCTTCTCCCCACTGCAACAACCAACACTTACCCTCAAATATTATATAATTCTATTTTCCGGAGGCTGGCAACTGACTTGGCACTTTAGGGCCCCTTAGCAGGATGCTGTTAAAACAGTACATATCTCTCACCCCTCTTCCATTACTCACTGGTTTTGGGGAAGGAAGGATGATACATGGGGACCACCTCCCTTCCCCTTCAGTGGATCCCAGCACCTCAGTCCCCCTCCCAAACCTCCATATGGCTCTTAATGGTGCTCACTTGCTTGGAAGCAGGCTCCCAAGAGAGAGGGGACTATCCCATGAACAGTCTTTTTGGCTGTAAGATGGGGCTCTATGTCAGTGAGAAAAGTCCCAGGCTAATGGCAGAAATTTGCACTTTGAACATGTGTGTTTTTGTGTTTTGGAAACCTGAGATTCCTTATTTATTAATGGAAAGTCTGATTTTTGGGGGGGAGGGTCTTTGTTACTATGTTTTGTGGGGCTGGGAGAGTAGATTATTCTGACATGGGATCCTTCCTACAAGAGGTACTTTGAAGGCAAGGCTTAGAGTTAAAGAAGCACAGCCAGCCTCTAAAATCATAGTTTTCCAGTGGCCTTTAAAGAAAGCTGGTCCTCAGCACTAACAGAATCACTACAGTAGCCTAGTGCTTTTTTGGAAGCCTTAGGGAAGGTTGATAGGTTTATGGTAACTAGTGTGCTCTTTGAGATACAAGGATTTGAAGGGATGAGGAATGTTGTTCAAGGTCTGAATCACACATAAAAAATTTTTTTCTTCTGTGAATTTATTTTTCTCTTTTTGTCCTCACCATTTCTTTACATTTATCTCCCTACTGACTTAACTCTGGCCCCTTGTTTTGATTTTGGTTTTGTCATTGGCCATTCCATCTCTCCATTAGTAGGAGACCATACCCTGTCATCCATGAAGGAACAAAATTGAAGAGTCCTAGAGTCTTGGTTAAGAGAAAACTGTCTTGTTCCCCCTTTAGAAGAGACAAAGTTTGAATAGACAAAAGCAAAGGTGAAAATCTGTGTGATAATGTGTTTGGCTTTCCCCAAATTATCCATTTTCCTTGGAGTAGGGATTTTAATGCATTTCTGTCATTGGGAGACACAGATCGTGGTTTTATATGCTTGTACCTCTCAGAAGACTAAAACCCTAATTCAGCTAAGTTTTTTGAGAGTTAGAGGTGCAGTTCTTCCCTATGTGCTTCAGAGTCTGCCATTGAAGACCTGGCCAGTTGTCAGAAATACATAACTGTTGGGAAAAATAAGGGTCTGACCGAGAACAAAACAGCGAACAGCTTGTTTTTTCACAAACACTAAAACTATGGAGTTTATCAAATTTTCTCTGCTTAATTTTTTTCCAAAAAAAAAAAAGTCATCTCTGAAAGACGCTTACTGTACACCCACCAGTGTCACTGGTTGGGATGCCAGGAGGAGGGAGGAAGACACCTACAGGAACAATCTTAAACACATTATTGTTTCCTCTAGAGTGTTGCAGACTTTGCCATCCCTCCTATGGTGAGGGGAGAGGAGGCATGAAGACAGGCTTTCCTGCCCCACAGTTTGCAGTTGACTTTGGTACATTGGTTTGAAATTTACATTGACTTTGGTACATTGGTACACAAATTTGAAAATACTGTAAGAGTAATTATAATGGGACTGCAACAAAGTTGCTCTACATGATACTGTTTCTCTAGCTAATGTCTGTATACTACACTTACTCTTTTTCACTTTTAGACTGTCTCCATAAATTTCACTTAGAATGGTTACTCATCAAATATAGCCACCCACAGAAAAGCAAACTGCATTGTAAACATCTTTCTGGGATGGGGAGAAATATGTTCTTTTCTGTACCTCACTTCCCTCCCCATGAAAGCAACTAGTTATAATAATTAGAAACTTACTGTCCCCTTATTTGGGGGTGTGTAAGATGGCTGAGTCATCTTCATAGCTACCATTTGCTGACAGTAAATTATTGTAGCAGTTTGCAATAAATTTTAAGATAGTTTTCATGAACTTTTTTTTTCTTTTGAGAACAAGTGCTAGCATAGTAAAGTATATGAGCAAATTAAGCACCATTCCCATTTCCTTTCTGCTAATGCCACTCATTTAATTGTCCTTTAAAGAGTCCTTTTAATCCTAAAAATTGGTAGATACTTGATGCTCTTACTGTATTTTAAATAACTAGTCATCCCTCCAATTTCAGTTGGCAATCCTAAATTTTATGGATATAGTTGTGATAATTACTTGATTTTCTGGGAGTTATGCATACTTGCTTGGGTTGCTGGTGTATTTTGCATAACCCTAACACATTTTCCAGGGTTTAGTCAGACACTGGCTGGGAGTCCTGGGGATGAGCATGGAAAACATTGTCATAGAGCACTTGGACCTCCCTTACACCTGTTTGGAGGAAGAATGTGAACTCTACCACCAACCTAAGTGAGGTCTTACAGCCTCACTGCAGACCAGTTTCGCTCCTGTCTTTTCTTCCAATTTTCCATATACTCAAGAAAATCAGAACATTGTAATGGGGCAGTTATATTTCCTAAAAATTTTTTGGCCTGTTGAAATGTGCAGGACCCTTTTCCTGTGATGAGAGATAGGTGGTTACTTGATCTAGGTTTAAAAGTTATGTAAAAAAAATTATAATAAAAGGGATACTTTGCTTTTAAAATCTTGTTTCCTCTTAATCTAGTTAAACATCTTCAAAATAAGTATGTAAAGAAGAAAAATAAAAGTTGTCTTCCTGGAAGCAACTGGTCTTCCTTGATTGTACTGAATTAGTCTCTGAAAGTAAAACAGTTGATTCTGCTAAATGAAGAAAACAGATGCCCCCCAGGGTAGGCTTTTGTATGCTGCTAGTTGCTCTTTGTTGAGAGTTGGGTAACCATTCTAATGCTGAGATGCCTTGTAGCTCTGTTTGGCAGACTTCAAATGTTGCTTCAGTTCCTTACTTAAGGATGTTAAAAGATACAGGGAAGTACAGTCTACTCTGATGACAGAACCTTGGTTGCATTTAACATCAGTGCTTCTTGACAAACTTAATACCTGTGTCAAGTTCTAATTTTAAGAAAGAAAGCATAGTGTAATCTTGATAAAAGTTCAATGGCAGTCATTCCTCATTTGTTTGCCTTGTCAATTTGCTCCTTAGATGACAAGTGTTTGAACTTCTTGGCAACATCTGATATGAAATAGGGACACTCACAGACCCGTTTGAGGATGAAACTTTGAAACTTTAGCCAATTAGCATCACCCACTGAGTATAGTACAAATAGAATGACAGATCTGTAAGCACCTTTTAACTCTTTTGTCCTCATTTCAAAGACTGTTCATTGTCTTGTTTAGCATGGAGTATGACTGGGACTGGGAAGAAAAAGAAGCGTGTTGTCACTTGAGTAAGACTGCCTGAGAAATGTTACTAAGTTAGAGTTGGGTGTTTCCTTTGGGAGAGAACAGGCCTAAACAGTGCCTTCCACATCCTGTAGCTACTAGGAAGGCACCATGATTGAGATTAGAGATGCTCCTTTACCTAATTTTTACACAAGTTTAAATTAACCTTATGAAGGATGGGGATGGAAAGATGCTACCAAGGACCTGTAATCACATAGTCTTTGTCTCTTTCACAAAACAGGAGCCACACAAATCATAAAAGGGGTGGGGGGGGTGAATATAACCAATGAGAAAAACTTACTATTTCACTCAAAATTAGTCTGAAGAATCAAATGAAGTTTAAATGCTATAGCACAGTATCTGACCCATTTGATAAATGGCACCTAACTCAATACATTCTGCCATACTAAAACAAAAGTTTAGAATGTAAAAAGCAGAATAAAATCAATAGATTATATGTGTAAATATCACTACATTAGGCAGGGGTGGGTGTCATGAGGATTAGTGTGATAGTGACCTTGTTGCTAAGTACAAAAGCAAAACAATGACATAAAAACAAGTGCTGAGTGGAGGAGAGAGATGGAGGCAGACACTACGGAAAAAAAAAAAAAAAGACTGATTGAAAAGGGCCCTTTGATTCCACAGGCACAAAAATCCACAGCCAGGAATTTGCTGCCACCTCTGAGTCAGGCAGGGGGTGGGGATGGGGGTGCACAATCCCATTAGAGAATGCCCAGTGGATTTAGTCTGTGGGAGTCATATTTCTTATTTGGCCCAGTGAAGACAGAAGCAAACCAGCTCACTTGTTTCCTGGGACAGTTGATTTAGGGGATGGCTTTCGCTGAGCAGTCACCTCTGACCCTTCACCGCCGGGACCTCTGTAGCCGTTCTATCTGGCTAGCAAGGAAGATTCGTTCAGACCTGACTGCTCTTGTGGAGTCTTATGTAAGTTGTCTATTTTGCTGTTGTCTGTTTTCAGCTCTTCTAACCCAACACTTAACCATCATGTTCCAATCCCATAACCAATTATCTAGTCTTAATGGTCATTCATATATTAAACACCTGTAATTTGGCTTGGCCTCTCCCTTGAGAACTTTACTGTCTTCCTCTAGGCTGCTTAAGAGACAGGTCTTTTCTTGAGTGAGAAGATACACTATTTGATTGAGTTTTTTATGAATCTTAACAGGGTAGACAGTAGTAGGCTTTCTATGTTTATGGTTATTCATAGAAAATTTGAAATAAAATACTTGTAGGATTAGGAAGGAATTTTGGAGAAATGTGTAGTTTCCCTCTATACAGTATAAGCTACCTACATTTTAGTTTTCTACATCAGAAGTATACCTGTAGCTAAATGGATTTATCAAAAAGATTCCCTAGAATATTCACCACAGTCTTGTGAAAATGTCAAATTAACCATTGTTTTTGCATGAAGGACCTCTGTCTAAATGCCTGATGTGATAATATTCCAGGCCCCTGATAAAATTACAAATTTATGTTCTCTAAGAATTGATAGCTTTTGAAAAGCCTTGCCATATATAATACCAAGTTACCTTTTAAAAGCCAGTTTCTGTTGTATTCAAAAGGTTCAGTCTCACCTTGTGGGTGGACATTGGGGATTGGAAAATTCAGGTAGTACCATAGGATAGTGGCTCCCCAAATGGAGGATTTCCATTCTAGACATTTTCTTTACAACTTCAATCATTGATTGTGGAATTAAAAGAGATTTTATTTGTGATTGAAGAAAGCAATTGAGATGATGTGGAATCTATCATGTTTTGCTATGTCCTTGGCCAGGTGAAGCATCAGGGCCTGAATGAAAATGTCAACCTGGACTCGGTGGCTGGTGTGCCAGTGGCAAGCACTGATCGTTGGAGTGAGATGACTGAGGCAGAGAGACTCCAAGAGAACCTTCAGGCTTACCGTACCTTCCATGGGATGTTGACCAAGCTTTTAGAAGATCAGAGAGTACATTTCACCCCAGCTGAAGGTGGCTTCCATCAGGCAATACATACTCTTCTGCTCCAAGTTTCTGCCTTTGCCTACCAGCTAGAGGAGTTAATGGCACTTCTGGAACAGAAGATCCCAGAGAATGAGGTTGATGGGATGCCTGTTGCTGTTGGAGATGGTGGCCTCTTTGAGAAGAAGCTATGGGGCCTAAAGGTTCTTCAAGAGCTTTCGCAGTGGACCGTGAGGTCTATCCATGACCTCCGTGTCATTTCTTCTCATCAGATGGGAATCTCAGCACATGAGAGCCATTATGAGGCCAAGGATAAGCAAATGTAGCAGTCAGCTCTTCCCTCTCTTTTGTTCTGGTGAGATATAGGTACTTCCCCGAGGCCTCGATTTCTCAGAATCAATTTTTGAAAACCATAGACCACAGGCATTTTCATCAAGTAGGGTTGACCCACATATGAAAAGGCGGATATTACAGGGTTATTCTGGGTGTATGCATATGTGTGCACATGTTTTTGTTTGTATTGGTGGTATAGTAGAGGAAAAAAAAGGGGACACTATCCTCCCATCTTCCTGCTTCAACATTCCTGATACTAAGTGACCTTTCTAGGCATTTAAACAGCCTTACAGACAGAAGAGAAATTGTAACCAGTTCTGGTTGACTTCGGCAAAGACTGACTAACAAATTGGAAGTCCTAGACTAGGGCCATTCAAACTACCATAATAAAAATAACATTGCTGTGCTAAGGCAATGAGTGTGCCATCACTTTATATACTTTCTGTATAACTTGACATCTTTGTCTCAGAGGGTTAGAAGATGGTTCTTGCTATCTATCCCTAGCACTGAAAAACAGCCCTTATTACACATCCTCATAAGTCAGCAGCAGACAGCCATCCACAAGTATTTGTTGCTCATACCTGGTAAAGACAGCAACTGCTTATTATCTTCAGATTCCATTTGGGAAAAAAAAAGGGGGGGCCCACTGTACTTGGAAGCTAAAGAATATGCAATAACATACTGGTTTAGTGTTGCCTAATGTACTTGAATATTGAGTTAATCTCTGTTTATAGCAAGTGAACAGATCAGTGATACAGGTGCTATAACTAGATACTCGACAGAGGATGGAATGCTCAGGTTAAAGTGTCACAGAGCTCCATCACTTTACATTCTCTGGACTTAGTCATGAGGTGAGGATGAGGTCTAGTTGGTCCCCACTGAGAATGCCAGAGATTCTTAACACAATAACGCTCTGCTTTTAATGTTCTTGTAAGCGCCACACAGTGTGGAAGACTAGGAAAGAGACATCCCTGGGGAAGTCATTTGCAGTGAAACCTGTACATTAATGAGGCATTGTGAATCCAACAGTTTGTTAGTATCATTTGTTTTTTACTTATCTTTAGTTAAACCTGAGAGGTCTTGAGTTGGGGATCTAAATCTAATCATGACATCTTGCTTCATAAATGAACCATCTTATATCCTCTCCTGCAAGGAGTTCCATACAGGCTAGAACTCTAATCATGTACAGGACAGGACTCAGCCAATCACTGTAGTATTTCAGGGGAAGTGATACCCTGTATTCTACTATGCATTTGTGAAAATACAGTTGTGTATGTATAAAATAAAGACCAAAATGTGAGATTGCAAAGAATTGAAAGAGATCAATTAAAGCCACAAATAAATATACTGCCTGGGTTGGTGAAGTACATTATAGAATAAACTCCCCAGAGGGGAAAAAAAACAAGAGTTGGTTCATGAAAACAAGTTAGACAACAGTAAACATCTGTACCTAGCACCATAAAAGCCTTATTTTTGTTTTATTCTATTGATGATTTTTGTATAGATAATTTCTCAGTACATTTAGAAGGGCTTACTATTTTTTTTTTTAACTTAGAAACAAGGCTGCTTCACAAGTCAATTCCAGGTCCCTCTCCGTTTCCCTCCCCTCCTCCCACCAATCCCCCTAATATCCCCTCATTTCCCCAGGGAGGGTGAGGCCCTCCATGGGGGTGTCCATAGTCTGTCATTTCATCCAGGGCAGGGCCTAGACCCTCCCCCAAGAGTTCAGGGTGAGAGTGCATCTCATATTGTTGGATGGGAGTCCAAAGTCTATTTGTATACCCGGGATAAATACTGATCTACTATTCAATAGATTACCTAGGCCTCCTCACTGACACCCACATTCAGGGGGTCTTAATCAGTCCCATGCTGGATTCCCAGGCATCAGTCTGGGATTCAAGAGCTAACCCTTGTCAGGTCAGCTGTTTCTGGGGGCTAAACCAGCCCAGTCTTAAAGTTCTGTTTGACAGCAACATTTTCCATTTAATAAAGTACATGTTAACAAGGTTCATGGTTAAAAAAGAAAAGTGTCTAAAATTTCATTATCGGGAATAACAAGATTATGAACAATCTACATCATGAGTGACCCTCTTCTAGGGGTTCTGTGTCTCATGGGCATAGCAGATACTGCAGGGTTTTCAGAAAGCAGTGCATATGAAGGAATATGTATATAGGTTTCAAGTGGAAAGCAGCCCAGAGAAAGTACAAATATTGAATGAGAAGAAATAGGAAAATGTGCCAGTCCTGTAGCTCACAGAAAGAGTCTCTTGAGTGCCCTGCCCCACTGTGTTCTCTGATTCATCTTCAAGAAACTTGGTGCATGCCAGCACTCGGGAAGCTGAAGGATTGGGAGTTAGAGGGTAGCTTGGACAAGAAGAAACTTAGAGTATGCCTCACAGCAATGTGTAAAAACCTTCAGAAAAAAGGTGGCAGAGAAGGGCGAATGGGGAGATGTCTTGGTGGTAAGAGTGTTTGTCCTGCAAGCATGAAGACCAGAGTTTAAATACCCCAAAACATGTAAAAGCTGAGCGTGACTGTGTGCTGTAATGCCAGTATTGGAGAACAGAAGCAGAATGCATCATGGGAGCTCACTGGCCTTGCCAAAACAGTCTGTGACACTATTTCAAGACAATAAGATAATAATCAATGAAGATACTTGGCATACCTCTCTGACCTGAGCATGCATGAAAACTCACATGTGCCATACATGTACACACACAACATAATTTTAAAAGGGGCGAGGAGAAGCTGGCCATGGTGGTGCATACCTTTAATCAAAGCATTCAGGAAGCAGAAGTAAGAAGACTTGGGAGTTCAAAGTCATCCTGGTCCAGCTCTAGGACTACATAGACTGTCTCAAGAGGTGGGCAAGAATAATAAGTGGGTACTTAGCCATATAACACAAATATAAACCTGTGTGAGAGATGAATGTGTTGACTGCATCATGCTACCGTGAATGTTTAAGACTGAATAAAGGGCTGACATGTGCCAATGCCATGTAGGTGTATCTTAATACAGGCAATAATTTTGTGAACATAGTTTGTTTGATTCTTTTTGTAGCTTTCATGGCACCAAGGATCTTACTAGACTTAAGGAGGGGATTGTTTTCAGCATGAGACATGAAACCCAGTGCCTCACATAATAAGCAAACACTTTACAGAGAGCTCCAATCCCAGCATTTGGAAGGGTATATTTTTTAAGAATTCACAAACTCAATGAGATTTTTCTTTAGATTTTATTCTCTTATTTCATAGACCTGTCCATGGATAGAATCCCTAGAAAATCATAGACAAATTCAGCTCCTCACATTTAACCTTTACATTGTTTAAAAAAAAATTCTACACCATAGCCCCCCCAAAACAAAATCTGAGGAGGGAGATTATTTCCCTGATTTGTATGGATAAGGCCTGACAAATTCTTAAGATGATGATTTGAAAGGCTTATAAATTACCATAAACTTGAGGCCAAGCATGGAAGAGAATCAGCTTTACAATACTGGGAATTGAGGGAAGTGATCACTTAGTAAAACATGCAGAGTATAAAGTCAGCCCTGATACTGCCCATACTTCAGACTGCTGTGGATAAAAGCCAACGGATGACACTGTTAGGGCCTCTGCCCAGAAGGAAAACGTCTAAAAAGTAGTTTCAAGTGACTTCTGAGCATGCGCCCTTGGGTCATCCCTCACTGAATACCAGAACATCAGCTCATTTCTTGCTTTTATTAAGGGTTAGCAACATAGAAAGCAGACCTCCACCAAAATGAAGAATAGTAGGGGCTGAGTTGAGATTTTGACTGTGTGTGAGATACAATGTGACTTGGGATTGGAATTCTTTAAAGAGTTGGTTTGGCCTCAACTTCAAGCTTCATGGTATAAAATGGACCCTCTGCAGTAAAAACGATCTCAGCACAAAAGCTTTTTACGGAATTCTATCACTGATTTAAAAAAAAATGAAATGTTTGGTGTTTAAAATAAATATCCATGTGCTTGAGATTCTTAACAAAAGATTGTTTCTTGGATCAATCTATTTTGAGCACATAGAAAATAAAAGATGCTAGAATGGCTAACAATAGAGTTCTCTTCTCAGCAAGACCACAAGTTGCTTCTTTTATTTCTGTGTCTTTGGATGAACAAGGGGAATTTCAAGTGATTTCAACACTGGATGAAATGTAATCCTCTCAGCCAGGGCCAGGCTCAATCAAGCATGCTGGGTAAATCTCCATGATGCCAGGCCACTGGGCAAAAGTCCCAGGGCCAGGCAGCCTGCAAAAGACTGCGTGCCCCTATATCACCAGGCCAAATGCTCCTGCAACCTTCAACCTCATAGGTTTTAAGTGAAGAAGGTTTGGTTTAATTTCAAATATTTTATTCCCAGCCAACCTTTGACTGAAAAAGATCTCTGAAGAGTCTGTTTCTAGTTATTTTATTTTGGTTTTTTTTTTTTTTTGAGACAGGGCTTCTCTGTATTGTTTTGGAGGCTGTCTTGGAACTTGCTCTGTAGACCAGGCTGGCCTCAAACTCACAGAAGTCCACCTGCCTCTGCCTCCCCAATCCTGGGATTAAAGGCATGCACCACCAATGCCCGGCTTCTAGTTATTTTAGAGGTAGGAATTAAGTTGTGACAAACCACATAGGTGAAAGTAAAATTTCTGGGTTTGTATTTCCGTCTGCATGTTGAGGTAGTAGGAAAGAACATTACTTAGCATATGAGACAGCTTGACATTATTTTGTGATATTTAATCCTTTGATATAGTAATCTATTTTCACAGATGAGGGAAATGACAATTTGTTCAAATTTATTCCTCTAGTGTATGACAGGACTAAAGTTTTAATTCTGATCTCAAAACTTTGAGAGACCTGGTGACCAAGATCATCCAATTCTAAAATCCACCTTCCACCTCTACAGTTCACTTTCCTTGGACAAAATCAGTACCAACTTGTTCCAAAGGATAACAAAGCCAATTTAAGTTCCCAACCTGGGACAAGTCACTTTCTCTGAGTTCCTTCACTTATGAAATGGAAAAGATGACAAATTCCTGACCTCACAGGTTGTTACACAGTTCAGACAACTTATCTGTATGTACTTGTAAATGGCATGTGAACTTCAAGTGTATTTAATAGCTCAAGTAGCTTAGATTCAAGTTACACTTCAGACTGAGGAGTGTGCTCTAAATATCTCAGAGATTGTCATTGTCTTCCCAGGGTGGATATGGTGGGGTCATAACCTAGCTTTCACCTTGTTGACTTTAGGCTACAAGATACCAACCCAACCTCATTCCCACCCCCCAGGAATCCTACATCTCTGTAGAGTTTGAGACACAGGTTGTTCACTGCACAGTGTATAGTAGTAATATAGTCAGACAGGCCCTGGAGACACCTGGCAGGCTCTCTAGACTGGGGAGTCAAGGAAACATGCCAACCTAGGCGCCACCCAAGATGTGTTAAAGCATGCATTTAGACTCATCCCTCTTCTACCCACACCCTCCTATTAATACAGGAAGGAACTCAAAACTATTTAGTCCTCTTGTCCCTTTATTAGATACCAAGTGTGAGAGAATCACAGACATTCCAAAATGTGTCCCAGTATCCCAGCTCCAAAGAGAAAGACTGTTGTAATCTAATGGCTCTATATCCCATCCCTCTCTGACATGATGGGAGATGTAGAATACATTCTAAAGTCCTTCTCAGGACTGAAGACACCCAGAGAAGACTTTAATATTTCAAGAAAGGTGTTTCCCAATCAAATGTAGATCTTTATGATCCTTTTGTCATAAGGCTGCAATAAGAGTTAAGACATTCCTCACTGAGGCCTAGGTAATCTATTGAGCTTTGGGCAGCAGATCAGTACCCATCCTGAGTATACACACGGACTTTGGACTCCCATTCAACAATGTGAGGTGCACTCTCACACTGAACTCTTGGGGAAGGGTCTAGGCCCTGCCCTATATGAAATGACAGACTATGGACACCCCCATGGAGGGCCTCACCCTCCCTGGGGAAATGAGGGGATATTGGGGGGGGTTGGGGGGAGGGCACGAGAGGAGGGGAGGGAAAGGGAGAGGGCCCTGACTTGTGAAGCAACCTTGTTTCTTAGCTAAATTTAAACTGAAAAATAAATAAATAAAGAGTTAAGACATTCTTCTCGCTTAACAGCTACCAACTCTATTCATATTCCCCAAACTCAGGACAGCAAGAAGGTTGAGGGTATATAAATAACTTGAAAAGTCACCAGAATAATGCCATTATTTTCAAGTTAAACTCTAAAGTTCAACTTTTGGAAGTTGCCCGCCAAAGTTGAAACAATTGTAACAGCAATGCATTTTGACAAGACTACATTGGGTCCCTGTG